AACCACCCCGGACTTTGATACCCTCCCACCAGCTAACATGCAAGTGCACAGACCCCTTTAAAAAGACGACTTCCCTCTTGGAAAGGGGCCCTTTTTTGCGCTTCCATCTTCGTTGGGAGGGTAAGGTCCCGGGTTCTTTGCCTCTTGGTGATACCTGTGTTTTCCTCCCTTTTGAGTACATGAACTGGCGGGATGAAGAGACCACTTGGAGAGGCCCACCTCATGGCCCCAGTCGTCCACCCGCGCAGGACGGCCTTCGCGCGCCTCGGCGTCCGGGGCCTCCGCCAGGCCGAGGCGCGGGTCGCGGCAGAGCGCGCCGCGGGCCGTGAGCTGCGCCCGCTCCCCGCGCTTCATCTCCCCCGCCGCGCCTCGGAGATAGGGGAGGGGCCAAGAGGCTGGAGGATGTGGGGTGTTTGGGTGGGTGGGTGGGTGGGTGGGTGGGTGGGTGGGTGGGTGGGTGGGTGGGTGGGTGGGTGGGTGGGTGGGTGGGTGGGTGGGTGGGTGGGTGGGTGGGTGGGTGGGTGGGTGGGTGGGTGGGTGGGTGGGTGGGTGGGTGGGTGGGTGGGTGGGTGGGTGGGTGGGTGGGTGGGTGGGTGGGTGGGTGGGTGGGTGGGTGTGGGTGGGTGGGTGGGTGGGTGGCAAGAATCAGAGGGCAGAAATCAAATCCGAAGCGTGGTCAAACCTGGACTTGAACTTTTGTCATTGAAGCCGGACAGCTGAGAAGCCCCAACTGGATGGTGGAAACATGGCTGATCAGAGCAGTGATGATCCTGCAAGGCAACAAGGAACACAAGAACATCTGACAACATTCGCCAAGCATAGCTCGAGCAAGTCCAACCGCAGATGTGGGAGTTTCGTCGTCCAAACCCTTGTGGCAAGGGAATGCCAGAAAGAAATCACCCATATTGCCCGACTGGGGGAGGGGTTGGGTTTCCCTTGGCAACATGGCCATGGGTCAAAAGCCCGTACCCCCTGTGAACATCCCAAACCCCACTAAAATAGACTAAAATGGGTGGTGCACCCACCCCAATATGGTACCATTGGTTTTGACCCACAGCCACATAGCCCCCAAGCGCCATGGGTCCAAGGCTCACTCCAAGGCATCGCAGACCTCCCCATCCCCCAGGCGGAACTCCAGACTCTTTGCCTCGAAGCCCGGCACCGGCGCGCCCTGTGCCGTGGCGGCCTCAACCTTCAGCGACACCTGGCGGAGAATGGCCCCGTTTTCCGCGGACAAATCGGAACTCCGCCAGCCAGGAAGGCACGATGAGGCTGTAGCCACGAACCCTTACCAGCCATGCACAAGCACAAACAAAGGGCCGTTCTCGAATTCAGCAAGCGCCATGGTGATTTTGACAGCATCCTGATGATACCACGGCCTAGGTGCCACATATATAAGCACAAACAGCTTCTTAACGCATTCAGCAGCATCCTGATGAATTTGATTCTATCATGATGAGGACGCAGCCATGCGCCACAATGCAAGCACAGGCAGCGTCCTAATGAACTCAACGGCATCAAGATGGATTTGACCATTTGCCTGACCGGCAAACACACCGGCACCCTGGCGGATGCTGGTCAGGTTGCTGCTTGGTGCGTGTTTGGCGACGCGCTTTTTACTGCAACTCGCGGTGGCAGTTGCTGGCGCAAGGTGCGGTGTGCGGACCACCAGGTCCGCGTTGCCACCAGAAACCACCTCAGCACCTTGAGCAAACCAAACAGCACCTTGACCAGCACCCTCAACAACCCCTGACCAGCACCCTGACTGCAGCACCAACCAAGCGCCGCCAGTAATCACCAGCACACCACCTTATGCACCACCCTGATAATCACCCAGAACAGCACCCTGAATGCAGCGCCAAACAATCACCGCCAATAAGCATCACCACGGCATCTTGAGCACAAACAGCGCCCTGACCGTCCAAAGCGGCACCCTGACCAAAACAGCACCTGGCCCAATCCCGCAAAACAACCACCTCTTTAGAAGTAAGAACCCATACTGTTTTTGGGCCAACATCGGGACTAGTGTCCACCAACCATTTCGGAATCCATTCCATGTGTTTCAAAAGAATGGCCGTACCCGGGGATAGGATGCATAAGGCTGAAAGAGTTGAGGGGGAAGTCTGCCTTTGCGAAGCTGCCTTTTGTCCCAGATCCTGTTTCAGGTTTGGTCTACCTGGACATAGTTTTGGAGGAAACCCCAGTTTTCAATACTGTCACACACCATGAGACCCTAGGAACCTGACGCACCTCATAACAGGGCTTGCTACGACAATCAGAAAAGCAGCGAAAGGAGACGCTGTCCATTGTCACGCAACTCAGGTGAAAGGACTGCTTCATCCAAAAGCACGGGTGGGAGCAAACCAAAAAAAAGAGAGAAAAAAGAAGGGGTCAGTGCACAAACCCCTGCCCTTTAAGGGTGGCGCTCAAGCAGCCGAAAGACCACGGCTTCCGCGGAGCGCCCGAGCCTGGCCTTGCAGCACTCTTTGGGGCGCTCGAAGCCTTCGCCGTCCTCCGGGAGTTGGCCCTTGACATCACCGGCCAGTGACATACCCTAGGTCCTCCAGTAGAGGGGTCAGAAAAAGGGTACCAACTTTTTTCTGTAGTCTATTTTAGTAGGGGGACCCTCCCCCAAACAAGGGAAAAGGGGCACTAGCGGGGGACCCAGTACCCTTTAGAGCGACGTCAAATGCCATAGGCTGGGTGGTGAACAGCCCATTCTTGGCAAGTTAGAGGAGGGGTGGAGTGATTCTCAAGCGCACTGCTCACAGTAGTCTTAAGCTACGCCTTCCTGAACAGGGGCCGTCAGAAAGGACTCTCCATCACTAGGTGATGCCTGATTACCCTACGCTCAGGCGCATGCATTCTCCGCCCCTTCCTGGATCTGCTTCTTCATAATAGATTTGTCCTTGGCCAAAGACACATCCGTCACTTCATAGATCTCCTCCAACACCAAGTGAAGGACAGCGCCGTCGTGGTCCGCATAAGCATACTCCTTGGAGCAGGGCGGCCCCGTCTTGCCACCATTTTGGGCAGACCATGGCAGACCCCATTTTCTAAGACTACATTGACTACCCCCAAACCACTACCCCCAGAAGCCAATGGATACATACAGGGTATATAAAGGTTAGGAAAGGGTAGTGAGTTTGGTCTTAGACATTTGGCAGTGAGCACTTCCCTGTGTCCACCTCTTATGTCGATTGATTCATGTCTTGCGGCCGGTACCTTAGTCAGAAAGAGGAGATCCTTGCCCTTGCCTTGACATACGGGTGTGGCTCAAAAATAAACAGGAGGGGTTACGCAGGTTTTGGTCCATGACTTACCAGGGCAACCCATGTTGGTCCCGGTGTTTTGAGCCACAGCCATACTGGTTCAACGCAAAAGGGTGGCCACCCCGGCCTTGGAGCAGGTCAGCGTACAGGCCTCGCCCCGCTTCATGCCGGTGAGCGCCTTCTCCAGCGCCTTGGTCTCCGCGCCCAAGGCGCCAGAGCCCATGGTGTACTCGAAGGAGCCTGGTGAAGTCCGGGACCCAGGAAGTGTGCGCGAGATACTGATGGTGGCGAAGTCCATAAACCGCGCCACTTGGGGTTTCCAGGGCTGACACCAGAAGGTTTGTTGGTATTTACGTTGGGGGATCATCCGAAACCAGGGTGTCTGAGGTGGTGCAGGAATTCGTCCATCCACAGTAGGAAGCCCCCTTTCCTGGCTGCTCTCCCTGTGGCTTCCCTCCAAACGGGAGGTCCAGCATTATACCTTTTCCAATCATGGAGGTGGAAGAAAGGAACCTCGCACCTTGGGTATGTTGCCGGCGCCCCATCGTTGGAAGGGTGGGGATTTATGCGGCCCCGCCCAATTTTTGGATTCTACGGTGTGGGAATCGAAAGTGGATGGCATGGGTCATTCCTTAGGTGGATTCTGTATCCCCCGTGGTTGGATTAGGGACCTGTGGCTTCAAGGAATGCGGACGCCTCAAATCAAATCCCTCAAAAGCCGGAAAAGGTTTCTCCAGTGCTCCCCCCGCTCCCCCGGGCCTTTGTCCTCAATGAGGCGGTCATCCTTGGTGGCTTTCAATGCGATCTTCAGCTCGCTTTTGCTCTTCGGCACCTTCCAGCCAGAGCCCTCCCTGGTCAGGAGCTTCACCACGCCGCCGTCGCCGAACAAGTCGTCCCGGGACACAAAGTCCAACAGCTCGATCTCGAACTCCAGCGCCGCGTTCTTCGGGATCTTCGGGGGCGAGCCCTCGGCGCCGTACGCGTAGTCTGGAGCGAGCGTGAACTTGGCCACCTCCGGGGGGCAGAAAAGGAGCAACGCTTCAAGCAAACGGCTTCAGAATCCGTTGGGGCTTCCTTCGCAGGCTTTGGGGTTCAAAGCCAACGGCCAAGGAAATCCTCACGATAAAAAAAGAGAAAGAACAAACAACGCCACCGGCTGACCCATAGCTGACCCACACCACGACGCGCCTCTCCCTTCCTCATGGTCGCAACTCCCAGGTCCCATCCTTGAATCACCTGTCCCTTGCCCAAGGTGAAGCTGAAGGCCTTGCCCCGCGCCCGCGAGGAATCGAACTCCGAGCCGTCGGAGAGCCGGCCGACGTAGTGGACGGTCACCTCGTCCCCGGCTTGAGGTGACATGAAGGTGGCAGCCTCCCCATCCTGGAGGATCTCCTTCTTCACCCCCTCGGGAAGCTCTTGCTGCAAGATATCGGCATCGCCGGTGATCCCCTCATCAGACATGGCGAGAGGATGCCGCCCGCTTCGCGCCAGGCCGGAAAAAACGAGCCTCTGACCGCCAGGCATTTTCGAGCACAGCACAGTGTGGAGGCTGCCTAAAAAAAATGGCCCTGGCTACCAATCAAGCCGTCAAACCTCTCGCAAGCTCCCTCAAGATTGAAGTGGGAATACAATACCTTGCCTTTGACTTGTTTCTTGGCAGCACGTCAAGATCTCATCCGTGCCCGAGCCCAAGTCTTAACTTCTGGACCTCAACCCCTCGGCTCCCGCCTCAAGTTCTCCAGGCTCAGCGTGCCAATCCAGGCACGGCTCCTGGCCTGGCCAACTCAAAAGCCCCAAAGCCTTGGTTTTGACAGCTGATGCCTCCCTCCACTTGGCTGGAATTCGGACCCCAGCACAAAAAAAAAGGCCTGGTTAGTGGAAAAACAAGGGAACCCCCAAAAAGCAAAAAATAAAACGGAGACTGCGTGCATAGCGTTGCGGCCTATGATAATCAAGCTCATAGGCATTCAACGAGGCTGCACCTTGCAGCAACATCATAAAAAGGATGCATTCCAGGGCCGTCACACAAGACGGCATCACACATCAACATGGCAAAGCTCATAGCCGCGCATCAGGAAACATGGCATAACCATGCCTCGCCTGACTTGGGGTGATCCCTGGTGACTAAGGTTGTTACCCAAGCTCCCATGCCACGCAGCCACGCAGCCACGCAGCCACGCAGCCACGCAGCCACGCAGCCACGCAGCCACGCAGCCACGCAGCCACGCAGCCACGCAGCCCGTGACCCCTGCCTTGCTGGCCTTGGTCTGCCCCATCTGCACCAGGCAGTTGGCTCGCACGACCAACTCCTGCACCGGAAGGCGAAGCGAGAGCAGCCAGTTGCAAACCCATAGGGCACAAGCAAGTCATTTGTCTGGCCCGAGAAGGACCTGGGGCTTCAAACCAAAGCTTTCTGTGCAGCCTCCGTGTTCACCCCTCCGTGCGCATTCCTGTATGCCCTTGAGCACTCCCAGTGGCTAGCACGGCCCCGCTTGGGGCAATGTGAGAAGCCGGTGCCAATCTCTTAGCTCCGTTTCAGCTAAACTTGAAAATGCACAATCTGTCAGTCAGCAAAAAGACTAGGAACTTTGGTGAGAGAAGGGTTTTCTCCAGCAACCAACAAGGGCATGGCTTTGAACTGCGCCAACTTCTATGTGGAGCTGCGCTGCGTCACCGCCCCGCAGCTCCACAAACCCAGGTGAAATCCCCAACAGCCTCCGAACCAGTCCCAAGTCGATGCCTGCACCTTTCAGAAGCTTCAGGCAGCGCTGTCCAACTGGTCACAGCTAGGAACCCCCCGGAACCTTTCGGGACCTTCCAGAACCCGACCTTGGAGCCGTGCCAGGCCCGCGGTTGAAAGGAAAGCAACCCCCAGCTCTTTGCCGCCCATATGAACCACCCCCGGCTCTTTGCCGCGCAAAGCGCATCATGCACACCATCCAACACAAGTCCCGTCCTTGAACAGCCGCTCGCGGGCTTCTGTGCTGGAGTCTTGCCGGCCTCGAGGCGAAAAGAGCCCACAGGAAACAAGCACGACTCGCGGATGCGACTTTCCCAGCCATCCAAAGGTGAACTCAAATCAATCAGGGAAACCAGAAGGAAAGCCTAGGTCCATCGATTGGACATGGCCGGAATGGCAGACATCGCTGCGCAAGCAAAACCAGAGGACTGGAAATGAAGGAAAGCCTCGGTATGCCCCCCCATCCCCTCTTCTCACTCAGGACACTCTGCCGAGGTTTGGGGCCAAGTGGAGGCAGGCGGCTCAGGGGCAGCTGCTGGCGCAAGCCTTCCACGTCCACCTCAGTTCCACGGCGCGCTCCGGGGAACTCAACCGGCGACGTTCTGGGAACTGACATGTGTTTCCTCCATGTTGAAACCTTTCGCCCCCTGGAAAAAATGGGAAAATCACCTGCGGTAGTGATGGATCCCCGGTAAGACCAGAGAAGAAAACCTCTGCGTAAGCAGCTGGACGCTCCAAGCCGAAAGGTGGGCTCCTGGCAACCTGGAGTCGGACGCTCATCGGCCTCAGAGAAGCGGACGCCCCCGTGGCTGGACGTCTGCACGGTTCGCGTGCGGCACATGGGGAGGGGGGGGAGGTTCTTTCTAGGGCAACTAGCTTATTAAAAAGAGGGAAACCTTCCATTTGCTCAGGCCCAAAAAGAAAAATATGTCCAATAGTGATAGGTCCCCTTTGAAACCAACAGGGGGAACAGGATAAATATTCTTAAGCAGGGTGTTACCGCCGGTTTTGACGGGTGGTCCCCCAAAAGGCAACTTTCACATCCCAAACAGTGAAGCTCCGAAAATGACTTCGGTCCCCCCCCCCCCCGGCCTGACCAAGACTAAGCGCCACTGACATGCTTCTGGAACATAACGATCTCCCCCAAAAGAAAAAGCGAAAGAGTGAACACGCCCGAAACCGCGCACTTTTTGCGCCCAGTGCCACTTACCGTTGCCCTTTAGCGGCCATTCGCCTTGGCCCTCGCCCAACCGAAGCAAGCTGAGGTCAGCGCTCGCGCGAGTCACGAGGCGCCAAGCTCTGGGAACGCCAAGCCTCTGACTCCCTCCCCGTCCTTGACGAGCCAAATCGCGGTGCCAAGGCCGGCAACGGGTCGCTCGGTCTCTCGGTCGCTCGAAGGCAACGCAATCCGGTAGGCCAGCCGCCTTGAGCGCCCTGAAAGTTGCAGGTTCTTGAGCGCCCCCACCCCGGTTTTGCTTTTGGTGTCCGACCTCTCAAACAACCCCCAGAATACCAGTAAAACCCAGCCCGAGTGTCACCGAAGATGCGGAGTGCAGCTTGCCATGGGTTGCTTCCAAGTGCTTGGCCTGCTGGATCTCGCCGCGGAAACTGCCCAAGGCATCCTGGCCAATGTGAGCATCCGGATGTGTGTGGGACCGCAAATTTTAGTCCATGTTTCCATTTGCCAGGCTTCCATTTTGGGTACGTATGTTTGACCCACAGCCATCTGAATCCTTTGGCGGGCATGTCCAAACCATTTTTCAGGGTGTTCCCTATTGAAGTTCATGGCCAAGGCAGTCTGTCCCCCTACTAACCTTCGCATTCCAGGGGTGGCTCAACTCAACACACAATACAGATGGCAGCCATCGCGGCCCATGCACGGGTCCCCGCAAACAAATCAACATGCAAAATTGAAACCGGGCCGCCCAAATTGAGCATTTCTCCAGGTCCACGCAGGGATGGCTCACCCGCAGCGGGCTCCTCCAAGGCCTCCCGTGAAACCTCCTCAAAGTCAGCGGATTGCACTACCTTGCCAGCAGAGTCCTGAGCTCGGGCGAATGGAACAAACCTCAAATGTGTGCTGTGCCCTGGTATAACAGACGCTTCACTGCACCCTGCCTGCGACATCAGTGCATGTCATGTTTGATCCTCATCTTCCTCCTATCTCCTGATCCTTTGCATTCTCCTTCTTCCAATCGGCATCGCCGTCTTCATCGTCGTCGTCATCATCACAAAGTACAAAGGGGGTGACATGGGATACCCGGACCAAATGTCGAGTAATCAATTACGTTGGTCCAAACTGTCTGCGCGCTCAACGGGGAGAAGAGTACGGACTGCGAGCGCTGCATGCCCAAACTGCCACCAAGCACCACCTGGGGAATCCTATTCTTGTGCCTTGCCTCAGGACGAACCCCGTCTCGTGCATTAGCGATGTTTCTTGCTGATTCCTCATGCCTCACCGACAGTCGCGTCATGTCACGTCCTGCGTGTCAGTCTCAGTGCCCATCTTGACGGTCGCAAAATACTCTTTGCTTCCATGCAGGAAGGCCTGCCTGGCAAGATGCGCTTTCTGATTTCAAAGCGAAGCCACCAGGGAATACAAGGGAAGCAGCCCATGTTGGGATTTCTGGGTTCTATTTTCAAACTTTGTTTGAGAAACACCAAAACTTCTCTCGCGGCGCTTGGAAGCTTGCCAGGCCCGCAGCATGCGAGTGCCCGCCCCCAGGCCAAGCACCAAAACCTCGGCGACAAGAGACACCGCACGTAGTTTGCGGCTGCCTGTGGGTGGTTGATGTTCAATTGAAACCGAAGGAAACCAAAATCCGATGGAGATCCCCCCAACAAAAAAAAAAAAACGCTTTTGGTGAGGAGGCAGGCCACCATAGCAGCCACCAAAACCACGGCTAATGGCTGAGCGGAAGCCAAGAACCAGCCTAAGCCCTCCCCACCTCCGGCAACATGCCCGTTGAACCTTCTGCAATTGGCCGGTGGACTGCGCAAAATGTACTGGGCGACAGCTTCGGCTTGCAGTTGAACACGGGGCGCTCAGATGTCCCGACCCGGAAAACCGGAAAAAACAGTTCACAGCATGGTCCAACTCTGAAGCCTGAACCCTAGAGGGCTTCGGCGCTTCTCCGCCTTGTAGGAACGCAATGGCCCGAGTGGGACATGGGCCACTTCCAATGGGATCCTAGAGACAGTGAGTCAAATGGGCCATAAAAAACCCATTCGGTACCACCGAAACACATTGAAAGGGCCACTTTCCACTGCGGGATTGCAGGCCCTGGAGCTTTCTGGGCGTCTTCGGACTTTGGGACTTCGGGATGTGGCGCTCCGCACTGCGCGGCTTCAGTCCCGATTCGTGTGGTGCCCGGTCTGATCCGCTTGTGATCCAAGGGGTTCTCATTCAAGGACAGTTGCAGTCCACTCATGGATGGATATGAGGTTGTCTCAATGAGTGGGGAAACCCCCAAAATGGATTCCCCTCAAAAAAGACACACACACACACGTGCGCGTGCGGTTTTGCGCCTACGTGACATGCAAGAAAAACATGCGCAACTCGGCTTGTCTCAGGCGCCGGCACCGGTGGCAAAGGGATCCAGCGTTCCACCGTGCCCCAATTTGGGTGCCTCCAGTTTGGCAGCCACCTGGCTAGCGACTTGGATGTTCGATTTGCCAAGTTCATAAGTGGCTACCCACTTGCATTAGAACGCACCAAAAACAAAATAACCCCATTTAAAGGCACTGGCAGGTGGGTTGTAACCTAGATTCCCAACAACCCACTAACTTGGCCGAACACCCAAGTAGCCATGACTAGCCGCTGGGGAACGATTCCGCGGCAATTGGTCTGCATGGACTGTATCGCAGCTGTTTTTCAGCTAACGCTTCCTGCTGGCTCAGCCTTTTGCAGGGCCTTCGCCTTGTTGGGCTTGGGCCAACCACTTTTGGACGGCGAAACTTGGTTTTCCCATCCGGCCGCGTCCAAGACCAGCGCCACCACGTCCTGGCCCAGGTCACACCATGGAACCGGCCAAGGACCTCCTTTCGCCTGGAGCCATCAGTAGTGAGTCGGTGCAGAAAAGTGCAACGGAGCCTATTCAATCAATGGGGGCCTGGCACGAGGATGGGAAGGTGAGTTCCTTGCTTGCCAGACTGGACGGTTCTTCTGTGCGAACGTCGAGGTCCAAATTCAGTTTGCTCGCCGGTCCAGGAGACCAGCAAACCAGCAAACAACAGTTACCGTGCTGAGCTTGTGCCAAAGGTCGGCCAACTGTCCAGCTCTGGCTTGGTCCCCAAGCAACATCCTCACCCGACGTTCCGTGCGCCGATCTTCCCGAGCGCAGAACCCGGGGGAGCTTTCAACAGCCGCCAAGATTGCCGGGAGCACAGCTGACGTTGGGCCTGGCAGCTCTCTGCGCGTGTGGTTGCTACAACCCCACACTCTGAGGAACACACCTGCTGGCTTGTCCACCTCGGCGCTGTCTCAGCCAGGCGAGCGCGCATGGGCCGATTGGAAGGCTGATTGCGCTTGCCTGGAAACATGCCTGTTCAAAGGTCCTGGGTTTGTCTGTGCCCCAACAAAATGGCTGGTGTCCCTTTGGCTTCCCCTCAAATCGGCCCCAAACAAGAAACCCTCAAAACAAGACACGCCCCTTTTTGTGGCTTCCCGCCCCGCTTTCCTTTCCGGGGGCCCGGCGGCAAATACTCCACCTTCGGCCTGGGCGAACGGAGGACATGTTCACTCCGGAAAGCTGTGCTGCCCAGATAAATGGACGAAGCAGTGCTAGGTCGTTAAAGGGGATGTTGGAGGGTCCAGGTCGTTGGTGCCCATCTTGCCAAAGGCAAGCCACGTGCAACCCATCTCTCACTCCCAAGCTGAACTAGTGCCTGCCAGGCGGCTAAAGCAGCCGAGAGTGGATCGCTGTGCCTGCGCTTTCTTTCCCCGATGCCAAGCGGGGCAAAAAGTGGAGGCTTTTGCACGTCTACAAGCATCTACTAAACGCGCAGACCAGAAAATCACCGTCAACTATGGACTTGCCACATGGGCTGGACGGCCAACCAGGGAACATCCCTCTGCTTGCCTGGCATCCATGCAGGTTTCTACTGGGCAGTTTGCAGACCCAAGCACTTTTTTCCGGCAGGGAGCTCGAGGCCAGCTGTCAAGGCCTCACATGCGACCGGGTGGGCGGATTGGACAACCCGTGAAGATTAACCAGGAGAAGAAGAACAAAAACACACACACACACACACACACCAACAAACAAGCAAACCCGCATCATTATTATTTCGCCAAAATGCAATTCAATGGTTGCCAGCAAAAGTATAACCCTTGCCTGTAGAAAGCGAAAGCTAAAACAACTTTAGCGTTCGGACATCAGATGTCGTAAAAGCTAATAAGAACAACCTTGGTCTGCGGGCAGCTTGTGTTGGCCTGTGCGAGACCGCTGTTTGCAAAGGAAAGTTCTATTAGAAGCCCCGTGGCCTGCGGAAAGCCATTTGTCTGGCACCCTTCCATTCAGCACCGACCCCATCGAAAGGGTGTGCGTGTTTGTGTGTGTGGTGTGTGTATGTGGGTGTGCGTGTTCGTATGAGTGTGTGCGTGTCTGTCTGCACGTGTGGCGTGTGAGGTGTGTGTGTGTGTGTGTGAGCTGTGTGTGGTGTGTGTGTGTGTGTGTCGTGTGTGTGTGAGGTGTGTGTGTGTGTGAGGTGTGTGTGTGTGTGTGCGGTGTGTGTGTGTGAGGTGTGTGTGTGTGTGTGTGTGAGGCGTGTGTGTGTGAGGTGTGTGTGTGTGTGAGGTGTGTGTGTGTGTGTGATGTGGGTGTGTGTGTGTGTGACGTGGGTGCGTGTGTGTGTGTGTGTGTGCGGGGCTTGTGTATATGTAATGTGTGATGCGTGTGTGACATGTGCGTAGTGTGTGTGTGTGCGCGTGTTGTATGTGATGTGTGTGTGTGTGATGTGTGTGTGTGTGTGATGTGTGCGTGCGTGCGATGTGTGTGTGATGTGTGTCTATGATGCGTGTGTACGATGCATGTGTGATGTGAGTGTTGTGTGCGTGTGTTTGTGTGATGTGTGTGTGTGTGTGGTGTGTGTGTGTGCGCGTTTTGTGTGTGATGTCGATGTGTCTGTGGCGTGCGTGTGTGTGTGTGTGTGAGAGATGTGTGTGTGTGATGTGTGTTTGTGTGTGATGTGTGTGGTGTGTGAGTGTGATGTGTGTGTGTGTGTGATGCGCGTGTGTGTGCATGTGATGCGTGCGCGCGTGATGTGAGTGCGATGTGTGTGTGGTGCGTGTGTGTGTGTGATGTTTGTGATGTGGGTGTTGTGTGTGTGGG